TCCTTCCTTCCTTCCTTCCTTCCTTCCTTCCTTCCTTCCTTCCTTCCTTCCTTCCCCATGTCGGCATGCAAAAGGTCCCTCTTTCCCCACACTGCCGTTTCTCCTGCTTACGGTGGACCCAAAACACTTTTTAGCCGCGCTAACGGAAACGCATGGCTGTGGTTCCCTGGCCGCTTCAAGGACGGAGGCAGCGGATTAAAAGAAGAAAAGCCAGGGGCAGCCCGCCACACCGTGGGAGGCAGTGTGAGCCTTTCCAAGCCAATGCTGTAATCAGAGAAGGAAGAGATCCGTTCTTTATCCGAGCATTTTCAGCTTTGCTGTAGTCGTAGAGATTTCTCAGGCAGCCACGTTTCATCCCTGAGTGATGCGGGGAAGCAGATCGCCACCACCTTATCTTGGGCTGCGGGAAAGGAGGAGGTAGCTCTCTGCTCAGCCACGAAGTGGACTGGAAGGTCAATTCTGAACCAGGCTGGAGTCGCCTTCCTGCCGGACCCAGGGGGTGCTGCTGGCTGAGACCTGACCATGTCCGAGGGGCTGGCCTGGAATGCTTCCTTGGCCTTGTGCCTGTCGTTTCTGGACGAGAGCAAATCGGGAGCAGGCATGTTCCTCTGTCTCAGAGCGGCTTCTGGAAGGACGGGAAGATAGATCCATTGGCGTTTCCTGCTCCCTAAAGACAAGGGCAATCTTATCCGTAACCTTGGACATAGAGACCCCTGGACAGGCAGAGGAGGTGAGTCCTCAAAGAGACTGGGGAAACGGGGCGTTCAGGAACAGAAGGGGCTTTCCCACCAGTGGAGAACCACGGATGTTCTCCAGGCCCTGAACTGTGTTCCTTCCCCAACCAAAACGCAACCAGCAATTCCTTTCGTTCAGCATATCTGGGCGTTACGGTGGACAACGTCCTTCCTCTTCTCGTCTTTGTCCAGGAGAATCTAATCATCCCAACTGCTCGAGAAAGGGCGCCTTCACATTCAGACAACAGCGCTGTCTGTCCTGGGTGGCCGAGCATCCTCCGCAAGGATTGCCTCTTCCAAAAGTTCTCAGACCTCCTGGACCCCATCCTTTGGTCCTTCTTCACCCTCAGGGCAGTTGAAGGAATGTGCTTGTTGAGAAGAAAGCCAGTGGCAACAAGCAGACTCCCAGCGTCCACCCCACTGATTGCTGGGCCCAGCACATGGCCCATCACCAGGCAGGCACGCGAGGGGATGGTGCTGTGAGGCGTCTCGTATTTTTCTGTAGAAAACACAAAATACTGGGAACGCGTGCTCTTTTTCACAGACATCCCCCAACAGCCTCGCAAAGCCACTTCACGATAGCTTCACATGATACAAGAAATTAAGGACTGGGTAGCACCCACGGGACACAGCACAGCTCTCAAACCAGATCAGTGAATGTGCCACGGGTATCTGTTAGATGTATCTGAGAATCTGTTTTTCTCCCTCTCGGTCAGACGTACAATTGCTTTGTCTTGGATCCCCCACCGAATTTTGGAGAGTAGATGTTATTGTGCCAGGAAGCACCTAATAATAATAGGGGAGCATGTCACTCCTTGGCAACCACCATCTCTCTAGCCCAAATACAGGCCAACTCTCCTTCACGTGCCCCCTGAAGGTGGGTGCTGGTTGAGGCTGGGTAACGTGGAGGAAGAAGAGCCCCTTCCCTGATTGCCGCCCTTCTGCCCTGCTCTGCCCCGCCCCAGCCCCCACGCAGAGGAGCAGTCCTCCCTGAGCAAGTCATCCTGTTTTCTCAAAATCTGTCTTTTTCCAATACTGTTTTGTAAGTACAGTATGAAAGTCCCTGTATCAGAAAACTAGAGCAAAACCTGTAGCCTTTTCCTGCTGATTTCAAGACGTGCCCCCTTCCCACCCTCAATAATTGGTGAACATCTGAAGCACCGACGTTGTTCCTTCTCTCTTTGTAACTCAAGCATGCACTTAGAGGTCCCGAAGCGTTCCCTCCCGGTGCCCCTCCTGGTCCCCTGCCTTCTCCCCTCTCTTCACAGTTGCATTCTCTTCGGCATGCAATGACTTCACCAAGGAAAACAAAGGTTTACAACTATTTAACAGGCAACGGTGTCGCCAAGAATAGAAGAACCCGCCTGGTCTTCCGCTGCATGTTCTTGTGACCCTCCCGCCCCCTTTCCCCGCCCTCCTTCTCACCTCCAACCTAATAAAGAGAACAGTAGGGAGAAGTCTGGTCCTGCCTCCTGCTTTGTTTTAACTCTTCCATTTTCAAGAACGCGCCTCAAGTGGAGCAGAAGGAGCAGGGATTGGACCTTGCCCGAGGTCACCTCGAAATAATCCAGAGATGGTTTAAGCCAGGGTTCCTCAACCCCAGCGACTTTAAGATGGGTGGACTTCAACTCCCAGAATTCCCCAGCCAGCCGTGCACGATCGGCGCTCAGTTGCTTCAGTCTCTCCTTCCCTGACATGTCAGCAACCTTTCTAGCCCCCGACCCCACCCCAGTAAAAATCCCAAAATGAAATCTTGGAAAATTTCAGCCGTCCCCTGGAATTTGAGTCCCGTCCCCATTTTCTTCATTTTAATTTGGACTTGTCATTGAGGTTCTGCAGCTAGTGTCCGGGCGTCCAAAACTGATCACAATGCTTGTGGCGGGGAGCGGGGGGTGGCTTCTTCCACCTTGGCCTTTGGTTGTTTGTCTGCATCACGTAAGAAAGAGTTCCCTTTCATTCCTTGAATGTGTAAAGCCAGAAGTTCTCCAGCTGAGATTAACATATGAGCAAAACGGCCCCTGAAGCCCTGAACCGGACAGAGGCCTGGCCATCTCGCAGAACCAGGGTAATCGGCCGGAGGTTGACCCGAACAGAATGGAAGGGGAGCACAAAACGGGGTGGGGTTCCCCAAGAGTCCGAGACAGTTCGCAGCAAACCAGCCGGCTTCGGAGAGGGGGCCGGCGCTTTTTCTGAGCGTCTGTCCTCAAGAAATGTTCCGCAGAGTCAAAAGAACATCCTGCTTTTTGCAGCCGAATGTCTTTGGAAGGAAAAGAGGACCTCGCTGTGCTTCTCAGAATGGACAGCAGGTGGCAGCGGCAGCCCAGCGCTGCGAAGACTGGACCCAACTGTCTGGGGTGCAAAGGGAGGACAGGCAGGGCTGGGCTGGGCTGGGCTGGGCGGCAGCAGGACCTTTTTCTGTATTCTGGCAGAGATCCATCCTGGCAAGTAGATCTTCCAGAGGCCATTGAACACAGTGGCTATGTTGACTGAGAAAGGGGCTTAGACTCCCCCCCCCCGCTCCCCTTCAAGGGAATTCCTGCTGCATTTGACGAGATAGATTTTTTTTCCTGGCCTCATCCTTGGTTTATTTCACCACTGATCGTTTCTATTTA